TTGTACACTATTATGAGCTGTTATATTTGTTCTCAGTCCAAAGAGAAGTACAAAAACTGAGACTGAGGTGGATAATACTAATATACACTATAAATGTTTAGTGGTTCTTGAGAGGAAAACATATAAATGTATGGTACTGTTGTGATAATTCGGTATATGATTTCAAAGGTCCTACTTATAAAAAATGATAAACAGATGTTCAGGCTCAGAAATACTAAAATTATTTGATTTGGTAGGTGTTTATTCAATTTTAAATATGGACCTAGATTTGGTAGAAATGGTATGGATTTTCAGCTTACTAACTTTCTATTAATAAAACATAATCTGTCTTCATAGTCAAGGGAGGTTTTTTTTTAAGATTTTATTTATTTGTCAGAGAGAGAGCACAAGCTGGGGGAGCGGCAGGCAGAGGGAGAGGCAGGCTCCCCGCGGAGCAGGGAGCCCGATGTGGGACTCGATCCCAGGACCCTGGGATCCTGACCTGAGTCGAAGGCAGACGCTTAACCAACAGAGCTACCCAGGTGCTCCAGACAAGGGAGTTTAAGCTCCCCCCCACCCCCTCATATACAGATGGAGCTGTCCAAACATGGATCTTTCCACCAATTAGTACATTTGTTTCTATGTGGATTGAGGTCACTGTTCACCAAAAGAGAAAATGCATGTCTGCATTGTCTCTGAAGGTAGTGAGGGGAGTGGAGTGATCCTTTGGCTTGCCCTCCATGGGGTCTTGAATAAGAGATGTGGCATGCACACACGAAGGGTGCCTGGTGGCCATCCCCTCACCTTTGTACCCTTGCATAGGGGAGAACATAAGTCAGAAATCTACTCCCACTTTGTTCTTGCTCTGGATCTTAAGAAGACAGCAAGGCTCTAGGGTGGGAAGCAGTTCACTAACTCCAGGGCCTGTGTTCTTTCTACCGCCCCTCTCCCTTTGCTTCATTTCCATCTCATCTCACTTAAGACCCTGAAGTGTCTGAATCTTTTCTTTTGCAATAGAACATTGCTAAATTTTGATACATAGTTAAGAGGATATTGCTTTAGCTGCCTTAGAAGTGGGGAACAAAGAATAGAGGGAAATAAAGGCTGAGAACAAGGGTAGTGGGAAAATTGTACAAACCCATCACTGGCCAGAGCTATCAGGGCTTCCCATAGGTATTTTATGACAAGCCAAGCTTCCTCTAGACCACTTACCTCCTTGCTTCTCACTTCATGTTTTACCCGTTACTCAGATATGTTGAGGGCATTCCTGCTCCTTGTTTCTTGATGTTACTGCATGCTAAATTATTCCAGGGCAGTCTCAAATCCAAGTTGTACCAAAGCAGAAATGTCAACTGAATTATCTTTAATGAAATCATTTTCTTTTTTAATCATAGAGTCAACCAAAGGGAAAAAAAAGATTTGCTTTAATTGCAGGCACTTGGAATACCCAGCCTGAGGTTAAATATCCTTTCATCTTGCATGATTGTGACAGACAGAGTAGGCATTCTTAACTCTGTAAATGCTTATGGTTTGGGAATAATTAAATTGGGTTAGGGAAGCAAAATGAAGGAAATACATGGCTGAAAGGAAAATAGAATCCCCATCAGTTAAAGGCAAAAGGAGGTTTTAAAAACTGATGGAAATGAAGTTGATTGCTTGCCAAGTTGGGTACACATGAGACCCAACTTGAAGCATAGAGCTAGAAGAACGAGTTAGTGATGCAAACAAAGTTTGCATAGGCATAAAGGAAGGAAGAGTTCATTCTTACTGGGGGGTCAGGAAAGGGGCTTCTCAGCTGAGTGGGCCTCGAGAGGAGGATGAGGGTAAGGACATTTAAGGTTAAGAGAATACAAGGGAAAACCACAGATGGGAATGTGTAGGCATGTATTGTTGTTCTCAGAGAACACAGAATGATCTACCATGTTTTGAACTTCATCCTTAGAAAATGGTGAGATATTGAAGCAGAATTGAATGTGCCAGGCTGTATTTTAAAGGATAGAATCCTGTGGCCACGTGAGATGGATTGTGTAATTGAACACAAGTCAAGGAGACCAGTTCAGAAACTATTGCAATAGTCTAGTCTAGGCACACACTGGTGGTAGATTGGATGAAGCAGTGTCTTTGAGTGGAACGCTGAGGAATAATACAGAGAAATCCTGTTTTCCAAGGTCCCTGCCTTAGATACACCCACCAAAGCTGACTCCCACCTGACTGTGGAGTTGAGAAGCGATGCACACAGTCAGTGTATAAGCTGGTTAGAGCTTTGCCCCACACAGCATGATGTTCTGTAGGTTGTATAGGAAGATGCTAGGTCCAGTTTTGAATGGTTTGAATTGAATGTATCCGTGAAATACCCACGTGGCATTGGAGACATAACTGGCACTCAGGAGAAAGGGCAGGGTGAGATATGGAGATTGACGTCATGGGCATTAAAGTGGGGCTGGGGGAGGTCAGAAGCAGGAGAGGGAAAGTGGCTGGAAGAAGGGAGGGAGGGGGAGAGACAGAATTTATACAAGTGGGCCTAGAATGGAAGCTTGGGGAGTACTTACTTATGTATAAGGGGTGAAATGTGAAAGGAAAACCACCCAGAAGTGAAGGACTGAGAAAGGGAAAGCAGTGGGGGTGAGAACGGGGAGAACGCAGGATAGCAGCATCTAAGCACAGAGTTCATGCAGCAGCATGATGTCATCAGGAGGATGGGATGTTTCGACTCCCAGCTTATGAACATAACATTTTAATCAGAACTGGCCCAGCATGAATTAATTTTCATGAAGTTCCTGAGGGAACATCATTAAGCCAATTTAATTCCTTCCCATAATCAATTTTCCATAGAGTGCTGTTAATCTGTTTCCAGTTTTTTCTGTTTCCATATTTATCTTAATAAAATTATTTAAATCAGAATTGCTTATTTTCCTCATAAATATCATGGTAAAGATTTGATTTATCAATAACTTTTTAAAATCTCTATTGAATTTTACTGATTATATCCTTTGCTGTTCATTTTCTTTTGAGGCCGTCATTTGTGGATCCAATTTCCGTGGGTCCTTTTTTTTTTTTTTAACCATTAACAACAAACAGATGATCCTTTAGGCAGTATTTCATCTCTATAAATTTTAGTCCATGGTCATTATAGCCATGTAAGTTTTACTTTGTCTTTAGATATAAACCCATTAAGTTTTAGTTAGTTGCTTTTTCCTGACAGCTCACTTAAGCACAGCTCAATTAAAAGTCTAGGTGGGAACACCAACAGAGAAAGTTAACGTGTTTGGGAAGCTCGCTCTCTAGTCTTCCATATCATAAACTCAACAGACTTAATTAATAAAAGTCTTAAAGTCTGGTATTGTGAGAAAGTAACTTCATTGCCTCTGTTTCAAAATCTTGAGTTTTCATAATGCTTTAAAATAAAAACATAAAATTATTTGATAGTCAAAATATAATAAAAATCTCATGTATGTTTACACTTACCACGTGGCAACTGTGTTAATACAGTCAAACAACAAAGCACCTATCTAATTTGAGATTGCTGGCAGAAGAATGACTGGTGGGTTCGGAAAGGTCACACTGGACCCCAAGACATAGAGAGGGAATAATTATCACCGTGAGGGTCAACCCAGTTCCTAAAAGGCCATTTGTGGTTGCCACCATTTCAGCAGTAAATCTGCTGATTTTGCCACCAAACTTTTAAGACTGGACTCACCTATACTAACCTAAGAAGACTGATGTGTGAAACTAGAATGTCAGTTTATTCATTCAAGTAGAGAACTACAAATCTAGGAAAGAATATAAGATTGAAATGTGGCTGGCTTAGAGGGGAAAAAAAGGAAAAGCTAGATGTGTATGCAACAAAAGCTTGTAGCTAGTTGTCATCAGATGCAGGTTTACTATAGATTTCTAAGTATTTTGATTTATTTACCATGCACCCCAGGAAGGGGGAGCGGAACTGGAATATGTGAAGTCCACTAAGTATAATTCCATCACAGTGGTGTGAATGCCTGCCTAACAACAGGGTATTAGTAATAGATTTGGTTAAGGCTGCTGCTTCCCTGCAAAAGGCTGGGATGGATGCTACATGCTCATCTTTTTTTCTTCTGTGCTTGGCATGGTTGCTTCAATCACCCTTCTGAACCACATAGCCATATTTTAGATAGGTATCTTTTCAGTCAGATCACAGTATAGTCTTAACGGTCTAGCATTTCTGGTAATTTTTTGAAAATATATTTTTATATTTCATCTTTCATTCATTTTGTCATTCATAAAGTTGAAACCTCAGAGAACAATCTCCAGTCCTAGTTTTGGGGGAGTCTAACCTCTAGGAACTAACAACTACAATGCTCTCAGTCTTCCATAACATAAGATCACTTAAAGATAAATGATTGAGTGGAAATTGCGTTTGGCACCCACACATGTTTTAATTACACTTTTTATTTGAGATCATTGTAGATTCATATGCAGTTGTAACAAATAATACAGAAAGATCCCATGTACTCTCTACCCATTCCTCCCCAGTGGTAACATCTCGCAATACTATGGTATAATATCACAACTGGGATATTGACATGGGCACAGTCAAGATGCAGAAGAATTCTGTCACCACAGAGATCCTTTGTGTTGCCCTTGCACCCCCAAAATAAGCTCTACTTGGTTATAGTGCATAATACTTTTTATACATTGCTAGATTTGATTTGCTAATTTTTTATTGAGGACTTTTGCATCTAATACTTGAGATCTTTTTTCTAATGTAGGTATTTAGTACTATAAATTTCTCTTTCAGCACTGCTTTAGCTGGGTGTCACATATTTTTTAACAGCTTTTTTTTTTAAGATTTTATTTATTTATTTGACAGAGAGAGAGCACGAGAGCAGGAACATAAGCAGGGGGAGTGGAAGAGGGAGAAGCAGGCTTCTGCAGAGCAGGGAGCCCGATATGGGACTTGATCCCAGGACCCTGGGATGATGACCTGAGCCGAAGGCAGATGCTTAACGACTGAGCCACCCAGGCACCCTGGGTGTCACATATTTTGATATGTTGTGTTTTCGTATTCATTCAATTCTGTGGATTTTTCATTTCCTTTGAGATTTCGTTTTTGGCCCATGGAGTGTTTAGAAGTGTCTTGTATAATTTCCAAGGACTTGCCTCTTGTCTTTCTTTTATTGTTTTCTAGTATGATTCCATTATGGTCTACATATGATTTTAATTCTTTTACATTTGTTAAAGTTTGTTTTACGACTTAGGAAATTCTCTAATCTTGATGAATGGTCCCTGAGCACTTGAAAGAAATGTTTATTCTGCTGTCATTGAGTGTAGTTTCTGTATATGTCAAGTAGATCTTGTTAAGTTGAATGTGTTGTTCAATTATTCTATATCCTTTTTGATTTTCTATCTAGTAGTTCTAACTATTGCTAAAAATGGGGTGTTTAAGTCCCCAGCTATAACTGTGTATTTATCTGTTTCACCTTTCAGCTCTATCAGTTTTTTTTTTTTTTTCCCATGCATTTTGAAGCATTTTGAAGTGGTTTGGTGCATGCATCTACTTTTAGGATTGTTTTGCCTTCCCAGTGGACTGTTTTATAATCATGTAATAATCCTCTTCATCTCTGGTATTTTTCCTTTAAGTCTTTTTATCAGTCTAATGATATTAATACAGCCACTCTGCCCTTTCTTTTTTTGTATGATGTTTGTATGATCTGTCTTTTTCCCTTCTTTTATTTTGACCAACCTGTAGGGTTGTACATAAAGGAGGTTCCATGTAGACAGTGTATTGTTGGCTCATGTTATTCTATATACTCTGACCATCTGTTTTAATTGGTTTACTGAGACCATTTACATTTAAGATAATTTTTGACATATTTGGGTTTGTCTTCCATTTTATTATTTGTTTTCTGATTTGTTTTCACTGTTTCTCATTTCTGTTTCTCTTATTATTCTGTAGATTATGTGAAAAAATTTTTAATGATTCTGTATTGATTTAGTTATAGTTTTTTTCTAAAGCATTTCACTTTGTATAGTTTTTATAGTGGTAGCTGTAGGTATTAACAATGCGCCTATGAAAGAAACATCATAGTCTACTGGTATCAAAGTTGTGCCATTTTGGTTGAAATGTAGAAAACTTACTGTCATTTGGATATCTTTACCCTTTCCTCTCTTTAAATATAATTGTTTGAAGTGTTTCCTCTTTATACCTTGTGTACCACATCAGATGGTGCAATAATTTTTGCTTCAACCATCAGTTTTACCCATTCTGATATTCTTTTTCTCTGAAGCTCCAGATGTTCTTCTGTTATATGCTTTTCTAGCCATTCTTTAAGGGTAGGTGCAAATTCTCGTACAAATTTTCTTAGTTTTTCTTCATCTGAGAATGTTTTTATTTCCCCTTTCGTTTCTGAAGGATATTGTTGCCAGATAGAGAAATCAAAGTTGACAGTTGTTTCCTTTGAAAAATATTTGAAGACTTATGCCATTTCCTCCTGACCACCATGTTTTCAGATGAGAAATCTGTTTTCATATGGATTGTTATTCCCTTATAAATAATGCAACTTTTCCCTCTGGCCACTTTCAAGATTTTTTCTTTGTCTTTAGTTTTCAGAAATTTATTCGTGATGTGTCTTGGTGTGAATTTCTTTGATTTTCTCTTATTTAGAATTCACCCAATTTTTTTGAATCTGTGAGTCTCTCACCAAATTTAAGAAGTTTTTAGCCGTTATTTTGTTAACAGTCTTTCATCCGTACTCTCTTTTCCCCTTCTGGTGCTCTGCTGAGAAAAAAATATTAGGTCTTTTGTTACAGTCCCACAGATCGCTAAGGCTCTGTTTTTTGGGCTTTTGTTGTTGTTGTTGTTGTTGTTGTTGTTGTTGTTTTTCCAGTCCATTTTCTCTCTATTGCTCAGACTGAGTCAATTCTGTTGCTACATCTTCAATTTCATTGATTCTATCCTCTGTCATCCCCACCTTACTATTGAGCCTATTTAGTGAATTTGTATTCATTATAGTATTTTTTATTATACAATTTCAATTTTGTTCATTTTTATAACATAATTTTTTTGCTGAGATTTTCTGTTCATTCATTTATTTCAAGAGATTTTATTGTTTATTAGATTGTTGAAGCATTTTCATGATAACTGCTTTTAAGTCCTTGTCAGATAACGCTAACATCTCACCATCTCAGTGTTAGCATTAGTTGATTATCTTCTCTCATTCAACTGTGGTTTTCCTGGCTCTTCGTATAATGAGTGATTTTACAATTTTATCCTGGACATTCTGGCTATTGTATTAAATGAATCTCCCTTTTTAGGTTTAGCGCCCAGGCTACTTTTCTGGACTGTGGTTACAATAACAGTGTTCAGAGCCATTGTGGTGCTATTTTGGTCTGTTTGGTTTATCAGGCCCTGATGTTGCTTGAGGGAAAGGAAGGAGTTTTTGCAGGCTGGGTCTCCTGATGCCTTTAGGTCAGGGAAGGAAGTATTTGGCTTATGGGGAGGATATGGATGAAGAATGTTTCCCTGGTCAGGTGCTTCTTGTGGTGGGATCCCCCTTGCCTGGTGTGTCTGGATGAGGGAGGGCAATCTTGGGCCTGGCAGGTAGGAGAACACTTCTCTGGCTGATTTTTGTCAGTGGGGCACCTGATCTATCCCCCTTACCGGTTCTGCCTCACCTGGCATTGTTGGTAGGAGTCTTATTCAATTCGCAGAAGGAATGAGCCTACCTGGGCTGCCTTCTGTTCCTACAGGTTGTGAGTTGGGAAACCCCAAGTCTGAGACTCCTTCTTCTATTGGGTGGGGTGGTCCTAAGGTGCCCTGCTACTCTGTGGACCTCTGGATCTCGAGTCCCTAGCCAATTCATCTTACTCTTAACACCTTTTAGATCTTTCCTTTGGCTGCCCCTTGTGTTATTTTCAGGATTCATTGTTTTGCTTTGCAGGGATAGAAAGAAATAAGTCTATATCATCCTGTCCACACTTGATGCCCACAGGTCAGTCCTCAAATTTTTCTGAGACCCAGTTTGTATAGTCTGTGGAAAATGCAGAAACACATAATCTACATAATCTTTGTGCACCAAATAGACTGGCCAGTTGGAAACAAAGAGCCTAAAGAAGATGGCAAAAGGGAAACCTCAGGTGCCTCAAAGCAAAATGTGATTGATTGCCAAGTGAGTGATACATGCAAGAAACACTGGGGACTCAGAGGAAGGAGAGATCAATATATCTCCTAGTCTGACCTGAGCAATAATAACCACAGTTTTTCTGTGGTGGTGACACCCATAGGATATGATCATCAGGTTAATGAGGTTTTCTGGCTGGTAATATAGAACCACTGGCTAGAAAGCAACATCTTAAAACAAGACATCTTCCCCCAAGTCATCCAGTCCCTTTACCAGGTACTGGGGGAGTGGGAAGCAGGGAGGGTGTGGTGAGCTATAGTGGGAGACAGGCAATGGGGAAGACTTTGGGAGAATGGCTTGGTGACTAAAACCCTGAAGGCAGTGACTAAAATGCTAAAAAGGGGTGTGTCTGGCTCCATGTGATTTCCAGTTTTGAGAAAACAGGTAGCAGGCCCACCATGTGGAAGGACATGTGACTGTGGGGACGCCAGAAGCACAGGGCTGTGTGAAAGTAGGTCACAGGTTTGGCAGCTTGATCAAGACAGCTCCGAAGGAAACAGCACAGTGTTCTGGTGACTGGCAAAAAGTGGAGGCCAGATCCTTACTTAGCCTATCAAAGTGCTCAGAGGGGGGCCTGGAAGGCTCACCTATTTGATGTGTGCTGCTGTGGATACACACTCCATTTTGGAACCTGCAAATGCCCTTACTCCAGCTGTTCTAAGCACCTGCTCCTATTTGGAGGGTCCTTGTACTAGGTAGTAGACAGGCGCAAGGGAGAGGAAAAGGAAGGAAGGCAGAGAATAAAAAAAATAGTATGACATAGATGGCAAGCTTGATTTTTTAAGAAGAGGTCTGTGGTATGAAACATAGCACTTGAGGGAAGGGAAAATGTTTGGGGGTTATTATAAGGATGATAGCATTTAGCGTATTGTTTATAAAATGCAACATCCCAGCAGGATATCTTGAAGTTAGTCCATATGGTGCTAGTGGTTTTTTTCAGTAAACATAAAAACTAATTGTAAATAGTGATATTAAATGAAACATCAGAATGACTGCTTTCCTTGTAATAGCTAAGAAAGTGTGAAATTACATATGACCAGCAATTTCTAGTAGAGTCTAAAAATCATAGTAGAGAAACCTGTAATATTGTCATTATTTAAGTACAGTTAAAAATTTAAAGATGAGTGCTGACGGAATGATTGCCCAGATGTTAACAGCTCTAGTGCCCATCAAAGAAAGAAGGGTTTACCCTTTTTAAGCATGAACTTCCACATTTCATTTAGTGTGAAATCTTGATTGTACCACTCCATTAGTATAATAGATAATCTTAAGCAGGTAAACAAACAACAAAACACATAATTTTATTTTGGCTTATTCTGTGTAAGTTAAACATCTGTTTGCTTTATCCAACAACATATTTATTGATCACAGACTATGTTCCACATATTGTTCTAGGCACTGGGAATATAACAGTGAACAAAACACACAAAATCCCTGTCCTCATTCATTCTGTCTGGGACACTATTCAAATACCCATGGTCTCTGCTTGGGTGTGGGTGTGATTGGGTATGGTAGGGAGAAGCCATAAACTACGCTTCCTGATAAGGGGGAGCTAATATGGAGCTTAAAATGGGGCTTAAGTCATGCATGGGAGTTAAGGGCATGCATTTCACAAGAATGGACTATGTTTACAAACAGAAAGAAAAAGGAGAAATGTATGACGGATTTTAGGAGGAAAATTGGTAATCTCATAAGTATTTATGCTATAAACTATCTTTAAAAATATAAATTTATCTTTTTCATTTGGCTCAGCAGTCCATTATCGAGTGTTTGAAAAGTGCTGGACTCAAAAGGATGACTTAGAACGGAGGTGTGAGGAAGAATTCTTGTGCTTCATTTCTCTAACTATAAATGGTATATATGTCTATACTACAATAAAAATTTTCTTTAAATTCAAATATTCCTTGCAAGTACATATTTCACATACCAATCTCACACTACTTTCTTTATCATATCGTATTTTCCCGGCAAAACT